GTACCGATGTTGAGATAGCAGAGATGAGTCGAGTATCATATGCTTCTGCTGTTGGCTCGATCATGTATGCTATAACATGTACTCTCCCTGATGTGGCTTTTACTTTGAGCATGGTCAACATATATCAGGGGAATCCTGGTAGAGCTCACTGGACTGTGGTAAATAACATTACTAAGTATCTACGAAGGACTAAGGACTGGGTCCTTACCCTTGGTGGGAGTGATGACTTGAAAGTGACAAGGTATAGTGATGCCAGCTTTCAGACTGAGAGAGATAATTTTCTCTCTCAGTCAGGTTGGGTATTTACCCTAAATAGATGAGCAGTAACTTGGAAAAGTTCCAAACAGGAGACTGTAGTTGATTCAATGTGCGGATCAAAGTACATAGCAGCAAGTGAAGCGTAGAAGGAGGCAATATGGCTAAAAAACTTCATCGGAGACCTTGGAGTTGTACCGGATGTGAAGGAGCCTATGTAGATTTTTTGTGATAGCAAAAGTGCAATCGCCTTAACCAAGGAACCAAGGGATCATGGCAGATCCAGGCACATCGACATAAAATATCACTTCATAAGACATCAGATAGAAGAATGACTCCTTGTAGTAAAGAGGGTATCGTCATAGAGAAACCCAACATATCCCCTTACGAAGGGATTGAGTCGGGTTAAGCACTTGCAGCATGCTAGGAGTATTGGGATGAATGACGCTATTACGTTTAGTGATTAGACAGATGCTTAGAAACTTGTAATAGATAAAATGTAATTAACATTTGATGATTGAATAAAAGGAGTTTTATTTATGAGTAAAGTTACTATCTTGTGTCAATTGTTTACTATTGTTTCATTTTGCATGTTTTGACTTCCAGAATAATAAGATTATTCAAATTTTCCACAGTCAATCATACTTTGGAAGTAGATACCAAGGCAAGACTGTCATTAATTGACTTGTAGATTGTCTAAAGTGTTTAAACATAGCAAAATTTTGCTATAAAGTTCATGAGTGCTCCATAAATAAGATTTGAGTATTGGATTAAACCCACGCTCACATCAATCACTTCATGGAATTTATCACGAGTGATTATGAGACGATAACATCATATAGTCTTCAAACCAAGATATATGAGTTGTTGATTACGAGTTGGTTGTGCATTGATAGTACGAAAAAGCATCAGTAACTTGATGTTATAAAACGTGTTGTTTTTTATAATTTAACAAGTAATTAGTACAACCATATAAGTTGAAGTTTATCTGTTCCTTTTATCCTAGGAGGATTAAAAACGATATCTTGGGCCCCTCGATGATTTGTTTTGACTTATGTGACAGGCCTGATCAGGACTAAATTGACGTTTTCAATTAAGTTCTATATCAAACAAATTATAAATTGGGAAACAAACTGCTGGACAATAAGTATGACTATGTTCCATGCATTTGTCTGCACGATATCTTGAAGAACAGAGGATTATATGATCCCTTATATAAAGGACGCATCAAGATTCAACAGCGGCTTTTGAGAGCTACGATTGCTAATCAAAATTTGAAGTTACATTGGCACTTATAGTTATTAGACTTATCCAAGTGGGAGACTATTGGATTAGGTGTCTAAGCTTATAACTATAATTGGTATGTACTTGACCCGATAGTAGCATGGTCCATTTTGGGTTGCATTCACCAGAACAATTTGATAGGTGGATATTTGAGAAAGAGGTTATTTGTGATTTATTAATATATTATAAGTATAATATATTAATTGAGAAATTATATTATTTAATTAGTATTGATCAATAATTAATTTGGAATTAATTTAGTGATCAAAAGAGACTGATTATATTAGCGGTGACTGATTATGTAAATCAGTGATACATATGGTTTGGGCTAATGATCCACGATTGATTTGTGATGGACTAAGCTTATGAGATAGTCCATGAAGTGTTAGTCCAAATCAATTGTTGGATCATAAGCCTAAGTGTAAGAATTAGGGTTTACAAGTGACTCTTGGAATTCTACACTATATATTAACCTCTAAGCCCCTAAAATAGGAACCAAGAGTATTCTACGAGGATATAGCCAATTTTTGGTGCTCCATGATCTCTCTCATTGTCATCCAATTGTTGGTGGTGTTTTGTGAAACATTTGAGGCATCGCACTTGAGGTGCTAAGCTCTTGAAAGGAAAACTTCTACAAGCTACAACAAGAGGTAATCATCTAACTAGTTTTTTATGATTCAAATATCAAAGTTGTATGCTAGTTAGGCTTCATGCTTTGGAAAAAGAATATTGCATGTATAAGTAGTGAAAACTTAGATCCAAAGCATTAGGGTTGTATGTGCACCATAAGAATGTTATAGTGCTCAAAACCCATCATGTACATTTGGCAAATTTAACCAGACATCCCTCAACACAGAAGCTGATATGGAATATTGATTCCATCATTTCAATCCACAAGTTCAAACTAACCACTCCTTCGTTATCGTAGAAGGACATAGGCTTGTAGTTCATGAAGTGTTTGTAGGTGCATGCCCTTAGACCGCCTCTATTGTCATTATGGATGTTGCTTCCACTTCTACCCCCACCTTGGCCAGATGTGTTGTTTCTATTGGCTTTATAAGTGGCGGCTAAGGCGTCGATAACTCGTTGTGTAATCATTACCTCGATTATTGTGGAGTCTAGAGGTGGAGTGGGTATTGGTTTTGGTGTTGGTGTTAGGAGACCTCATTTGGAGGCATGACTTTCGTCATAATATAATTGTTTTAAAGATAATATTTATCATATGCAAAATTTTGTTATTCTACATATGTATAAGTATCCTGCCGAGTCTTAAGTAGTGAGTTATAACCAAATAATATGTGTTCTGAACTATACTAATCTTAAATCTTTAGAACTCTCAAGAGTTTAGTTTATCAACACTCTTTATATCCATGGTTTCTTAATTGCATGTACTATTTGTTTAGCGTATCATTTATACTTAATAATATTTAATACACATATCTACTCAAATCATATGTATCCAAGCATCACATATGTATAATGACAAATGTTTGTTTATCAACGATTTACACATATCAAAGATTTCTATGATATCCTAGATGCATTTCAAAGTGTATAACTTTATTTGTATTGTAATGAATTGAATATATTACATTAGGTCTAACACATATGTATTTAAATGTAATTATGTTTGATCATAAAAGCGATAATTGACCTAATTTTGGGAACTGTGACACCCATTTATATGTTTGCTCGGCTAGGCCCGTCATGGTATGTCGTATCTTAGAAAACTCAGTAAACTTTGTGCTTACAATTTAAGTTTAAATGTTTCAGATACTTTTGGTAGCAAAAGGAAGAGCCCGACCTGATTGCATCGCTTCCAACGAAAAATTCCGCACTATATCCTTTTATGTCATACTCTGTTGTTTGTTAAGACCACATTTTATATCTCAATTATCATTTAATGGCATAGAAATGAATGATGTTATCTTAATTTAAAATGAAAAAATTACTCTATATTTTAGGACGTTACAACTTATGATATTTTCGACGATAATAGAATATTTTTATTTGAAGATAGAGAAGTAAAGATTTGAATGAGAAAGACATGGTCATGATGCATGATGTAGAGCCGACCTTAGTGTGTAAGAGAGATTCATATCCTTTGTTGGATCTCTACCAAGGGTTAGTTTGGATACAAGTCGAGAAGGATGTCTCGACCTAAACTATTATAGAAGTCGAAAAGTTAGGAGTTTTAAATCAATATGACGAAAATAAAAATGTTTCAGTTATAATATACTTATAAATAGATAATAGATACAAGAAAAAAATAAAACTAATCTCATTTTACTTGTTTCTAAGATTTAATAAAAAATTAGCCAAACCTCCAAAATATACATGATTTTGGTAGATAACATTTTTAAAAATTGTCATATATCTACGAAATCTTCAAAACGCTATCGTTTTGAAGATTTTTCCAAATGACCCGATAATTTTTATCTGCAAAAATGTTGGGATCCCGAAACTAGATTTGAAAAAAATTAAAAAAATTAATACAATAAAATTTCATAGATACCAGATGCGAAAAATCCAAGTTTTATTTATGAAAATTAAACGAAAAAAACGTTAAAAGTTATAAAAACAATTTCGACATCAAAAGGAAATTTAATATTATAATTTTAATCCGCGAAAATAACATTTATTTTTCACAGTTTTCAGAAAAACTCTCAAAGGAGCTGATGATTTTGTAGACCTCCGTTTGAAACATCTTCTAAAAACGGGGAGAAATTTTTTCTATTATTATTATTTTTGCAAGTCGAAACTATAATATTAAATTTTCTTTTGCGGTGAGAATGGATTTTGAATATTTCTAACACAAATAAAAGCTTAGCAAATTTTTTTTTTTAAGGTGAGGAATTCTACTTTTTTTTTTCTCAAAAGAAATCAAGATAAAGAATTTTTTTTTTTTTTTTTTAGATGACATAAGAAAATCCATTTTTTCACGGATGGGGAGCATGAATATTTCAAATGATATCTTCAATTCCCCCACTTATATGAAAATATTTTCAATTTCCCCCCTTAAATAGTAAAACAATTTACGCATGATTTTTTTTTTTAAAATAATAAAGATTTTTCCAAATGTTATCTACAAAAATCATAACTATTTTGATCAAATTGTTACTTTTTTTTAATAAATAAAAAAAATAAATGAGATAAATCTGCTTTATATTTTTCTCTATATAAAATCTTTATATAAAATAGAATTAACTTGATATTAAAATGTTTGAACAAGGTAATTAATCTCTAATTTGTCTTTTTATAAGAAAAAAGGCTTACGAAACAAAATTAAAATCGCCAGTTCAAGTAACGGTTATCGGTGTCAAAAAAAAAAAAAAAAAAAAAGATTGAAATTTTTTTTTAAAATAATTTTGAATTAAATATGATTTTATAATAAGTGGAGGGTGTAACTTTTTGATAATTAAAGGAAAATCAGTCAAATTACTTTAAGATATCATAGACATAGAGTATGGTTTTGAAATCGAGATTGTTTTAGAGTTGACTCAAGTTCTTGTAGGAGGTTCCTCGGATAATAGGTGACCCAAATCAGGAGTCAATTACTTTTGTGAGCCTTACAAAAGCACAATCACCCCCATTAAAAACCATAAAAATGGAGCTAAGAATTATGAAAATACAGCTGTACTATAATAGCTTCCACAATTCTTCTCTCTCTGAGTGTGTGTGTCTGACTTGGTATGTTTCTTCACATTAATTATACATACAACCAAATATAAAAACAATAAAAGCCATAAAATTAGAAATAGAAAGTCAAAATAAGGGGCATAGTCTCAACAGCCTAAAGCCCTTTTGCAGCCATTCTTAAGGATCAAAAGAGCAAAAACCAAACAACTCTTCGCTTTAGCGGTTACAAAGTCCTTTAAAAAACCTACACCGCTTACATCTTATGTATCTATTTTGCCAGACTCAAATTCAGTTTGTGTTTACTTTTCTTGTGATGTTAGAGAAGATTAGAGATCGGTGAGTTCAAATTCTAGATACCCATTTGTTAAATTTTCAATAAATGTTTAAAGATTGTGTTTTAGTTGATGGGGTTAGTGGGTTTGTTGATATGGATGATGATCAGTATTTTGCCTATTATTTTAATTGAAGGATTTACTACTTTTGACTATTTTTCAGGTTGTGAAATTCAAGGTTTAGGAGGCCGAATTACTAAATGGGTAATTTATGCAGCAATTCCGGTTCCAAGGTGACGATTGTTCATCCCTCTTTCCATATGTTTTCAATTTCATTTTTTTCAAGTGTGTTCTTGAATTTGATTTATGAATTTGTTTGAATATAAGCATAGGCAAGTAAATTGACCGATGGAATTGATTTTTTATGATCGCTGTAATTAGGGGTTTGCTTTCTACTGAACATCCAATTAGGGTTTCATCTAAGTATAGTTATTTTTCTAGTTTTTTGTATAAAATCTATCTTTTTTTTTTCTTTCTATATGATAAAGCAAAAAAGTCTTCAAGTTTGACCAACTTATGAGATTGCTAGATTATGAGATCCAGCAAGCTTCTTTTCAAGTTTGAACTATCCAAATTTGTTGCCAATTCAATGGTTTTCATTGCTGACGATAGAGCCGCAATTCGTGCAAATCTAGATTTTTATAGTTAATGAGATAACGAATTTTGTCGTTTTACGGGTGTGGTCAAACTTCACTTCTTTTCAAAACTGAATTATGTGATCTTCATTGTGTGATTTAATCCGGTTTTGTGATTCATTTAGAACATAAACTTGATCTTTATCCTGTGTCAAACCTTATTTAACAAGTGTATTCATCATGCTTGCCATCAATTTCAAGCTTAATGCAAATTTTGTTTTTTGACCAAATAGTAGTTGAAAGTCAATGGTTGACTTGTGAGATTAATTAATCTTCATTTTGTGTTTATAATTGGTGAATGGTTTTAGTATCCATATTGTAAGCTCAATGGTCGACTATTTCATATTGACTTGCTTGTTTTAACAATATGGAAACCCTACTTTCTCCCAAGATTGACCTAGATAGAATTTGATATAAAAGGGTATATATAATTTAACGGAACTTTTTTTTGTCAACTTTAGCTTGCAAATGGGCAATCATCAAATGGTGCGGGCAAGGGACGAGGTGATCAAGGGTCAATTAGATATGGGTACACCCTAGTTAAAGGGAAGGCTAATCATCCAATGGAAGATTACCATGTTGCCAAATTTGTCCCTTATCAAGGGCGTGAACTTGGACTTTTTGCTATTTATGATGGGCATCTCGGGGATAGTGTGCCCTCATATCTTCAAAAGCATTTATTCTCCAATATCTTGAAGGAGGTGAGGCGTTACAATTGTCTTTTGACTCAAAAGTTGACCTTAAAATCAACAACTTGGATGCAAAATGCTTCCCTTTATCTAAAACATGATCACTTTATAAAACAAAGTACTCAAATTCTAAAAAGTTTTGTATCTGGAAAGTTAATTACAAAATAAGGCCGATTTTATAAAAGTATGGGAAAACTGACTTTTTGTATTGAGTCGTTCTTTCTGCATCGAGTCAAAAAGGAACACTCATAAATAGTTTATCGGATTAAAGTCTTGTCCCCATTAATTATTTGTCTTTTTTATGTGGAACCTAGAAATGGATGCATGGAAAAATATAAAAGGAAACAGATAAAGATTGACTATGACGAATGTGTAGTACATACGTATGTTGATTCCTTTTTTGTTTGTATGCGTCATATTCCTATGTACTCTACATACGTAATCTATTTGGTTATATTATAAGTTCAATTTCTCATAATTAGGAGGGAACAAAAAAAATAAAGAATTAAGAATCTACATATACATACGTCCCCATTTCGGCTAATATTATACGTCATACTTTCAGCACCAATCGCCTTTGCATTTCATAAAACATACTTTTTCACACGTCACAATTATTCCATTCAATTTTTTGCGTCATTATAAAACTTCTAATGTTTAAAATTTGTTTATCCACTGCTAAAATTACGTATTTTCCTATCCTAAATCACTAATATCAATGGGACATGAAATTGGTATGGATCTCTGGTTTGTGCAAAAGACATGAATGCCCTCCAGTCCACCCAACTTATTTTTGAAAAATGGTTCGACTATAGTGTATGATGATGTTTTATGTTATTTTGTAGGGTGAGTTTTGGACTGATCCAAACAGGTCAATTTCAAAATCCTATGAAAGAACTGATCAAGCCATTCTTTCCCACAATTCTGACCTTGGAAGAGGTGGGTCCACTGCAGTCACTGCAATTCTCATCAACGGTTGTAAGTTATGGGTAGCAAATGTTGGTGATTCTCGGGCAGTTCTTTCCAACAAAGGGCAGGCAATTCAAATGAGCATTGATCATGAGCCCAATACTGAGTGGGTCAGTATTGAAAATAGAGGAGGTTTTGTCTCAAACATGCCAGGTGATATTCCTCATCATCAAAGGCCATTTAGAACTTTTCATATATATAAGGAAATTTGATTTTTCTTTTTAAGGAGATACAATAACATTAAATGATCAAGATTTTGTTATCAGGAGATGTAGCAAGAGTGAATGGACAGCTGGCGGTTTCTCGTGCTTTTGGAGACAAGAATCTCAAGAATCATTTGCGCTCTGATCCCGACATAACAAATGCAGATATTGATGCAAATAATGAGATTCTCATTCTTGCAAGTGATGGTCTATGGAAGGTAATAACATAAGTATTCACTCATTATTTATGTATTTACTCATTCTTTCTGCATTATTTAAGTAAAAAGGAAACACACTGACTTTTTTTTGTTTGATTGGTGTTGATACAGGTTATGAGCAACCAAGAGGCAGTGGATGTAGCAATAAAGATCCGGGACCCACAAAAGGCAGCAAAGCAACTAGCTGTTGAAGCACTGAAACGAGAGAGTAAAGATGATATATCATGCATTGTTGTTCGGTTTAAGTGATGAAAGAAACTCTATATAAAGAATCTGCATGGATTTAGGAATGAGTATGTGCAGTATAAGATAAGAAGATGTAAATTATTGAGGGTTTATGGTTTGCAGGATTTGCAAAGGAAAAAATTACATAGTTCATTGCCATCGTAAGTATGGTTTTTTTTTTTCTTAAAATGTTTATGGATATGGAAGTGTTGTTGCTAGTGATGGTGAGTTTGTTGATTTTTCGTTTCTTGAATGTGTAGATTTATATATATTTACTTTTGTTTTTATGGTAAGTTTTGATGGTAAAATCTGTAGCAATATTTACTTTCCATACACCAAATATTTGAATACTATATATATATATATATATATATATATATATATATATATATATATATATATATATATATATATATATATATATATATCCTAAGAGTCTCTTATTCATACAAAAGGTGAACCGATTAATTCACTATAATATTCCTTAACTTTCATATAAAATGAGTTCATTTGAAGATGATATTTGGCATTGTGAAGAAGATTGTTATATTTGTTCAAATATTAACCCATTTTCATCATGATGAACTAGTACTGGTTAAGATACTCAATTATATATTCGAAAAGAAGTTGGTTGATGAAGAAGACAACTAGAGAGACTTAGTCAATAATTAATTGGTAATTACTTTTGTGACTAAAAGAGATTAATTAAACTTAAGGGACTGGAATTGTAATTATAAGATAATTGCAATTTGGGCCATGGATTGCCTTGTATTAAGGGATGGACGAATTCTAATGGGAAACCCATAAGGAAATCGTCCATGGGCTTAATTAAAGGAGTCTATGGGTTGCTTAGGGCTTAAGCATCCAAATTAGGGTTTCCTTGTTAGATAACCCTAATAGCCCAACTATATAAAGACCCCTTAAGGCTAAAAAACGTGGCTAAGTTTCTTGTAAGGGTTTACACACGTTTTTGGCAGCCTCCAACCTCTCTCCTCTTCATCCTCTTGCTTATGGTGTTTGTAAGCCATTAGAGGAGTGACACTTGTGACTCTAAGCCTTCCAAAGTCAATTCAAGGAGGAATTAGGATTGTTATTGCTACATAACAATCAAGGTATGATCTTAAACCTAATTACATGTTAATATGATTACTTGCATGCTAGAATTAGGGTTTATAGTCTTGGATTCAAAGCATGTACAATAGAGAAACCTAGATCCAAGCATTAGGGTTTGTATGAGCACATAGGATGTCTTATGACCAAAACCCATCAATGGTATCAGAGCCTAGCTTGGTTTCAATTGTATTGATGCATTGTATAACTGAAAAATTCGATTTTTTGGATTGTGGAGGCTGGACTCGCCGAGTCCATGGCTGAACTCGCCGAGTCCATGCAGACTCGACGAGTCAACTCGTCAGATAATGCTTATCTCGGGATTTCTTGCTGTTTTTGCATATGGATAGTTACCTTATCATGTTAGATCAATATAAATCCGATTTTATGATATATATGACTATATTCTTGATCTAATTAAAGATAATTATCAATTAACAAGATAATTGTTTCCTTATAAGATAATTGATTAATTATTTTGAGTAAATTGATAAATTGTTTTGCAAGAAATCATTAAATAAATCAAATATGGATAATTATGTGATTAAATGTTAATTTAAAATTATTTGTTATTTGATCCTTGTTGTTATGAAAGGTTTCATATTTTCCCCTTTAGGTTTTATAGTTTAAATTTGAACCCAAAAGTTTTCGAGTTTTGAAATTTAAATAGTTAAAACCCTAATGTTTTGAAAAAGGTTTCAAAATTTTCCCTCAAGTTTTGGAATTTAAAAGTTGATTAAAAGTTTAATTAGAAATGTTAAATTCTAAAACCCTAGTAATGTTTTGAAAAGTTCAAATCACACCTTATGGTTTTATTAATTAATTAAGGAGTATAATTAAAAGAGGTTTAATAAATCCATAAAAGTTTAGGTTAACCATTTAATTGAATTAAAAGTGTAATTGTTAAAGTTAACCATATAGTATTTTAAAAGTGTAAAATACACCCTATACTATATATATAACATTAAAGTTAACATTATATATATGTATGAGTAAAAGTCAGTCTTACCGTTAGTAGGCCTCATTCACGAAGCTGGTCTATAAGGGGTGTTTAAGGAAATTGCCTATAAAATGGCGATTGAATGGGTATCCACTCTTACCCACCGCACTCTTGACTAGTGGAGGGTCGTTAGCCGAACGGGTAGGATAGGACGAAACCTTCCATTATAAGTATAATGAAATACAAAGTAACTAAATGTTTTTCAAATTCCCAATCTTAGTTACTTAGGCAAAAGTGAATTGATGCAATTCCATGAAATTACACTTTGTGCCCTTGCGAAGACGTTAGTGGAGCGTGTGTGGTTTACCGGCACACTAAATGGTTCTAAGCAAAGGTAGCAAAGGGTGACTCAATGTTTGTCATAGTTCGGTGGAGCGTGTGTGGTTTACCGGCACATCGAATAGGTGATTGTAACATGTGAGGGCACCATGTAGTTTGCATGGTTATTCACACCCGCTTTGTGATCCTCGGCATCCCAGTCACAAACAAGAGGGGCATATCGAGATTTAAACATGCCATTGAAATGTTCAATGAATCTCAAAGGATCTAGGAGTTTTCATAGATTTAAAACTTAAATTTCTTTTTCGTTTTTCATGGTGGAAATTAGTGAATCGTCATTCACTTACCTTCAAATGTTCTGCAATTTGGGTTACGGCATCCCTCTCCCGAGTTGTAGGATATTGTGTTGGGTCCTAGCCTTGGAATTTCATTTGGGTGATTTACCAAGGACTCAATCAATCAACTAACTTGAATTCGTTTTTCTCCCGATGTCAAAGTTCGACAACTATGGTCTTCTCAAATCCCGTGGAACAAGCATTCCACATGAAGATGATATTCCACGATTCGATCGAGGAACAAGAAATCATGCTTCACTTCCTCCTCCTCCTCCAATTATTCTCCCTAACCCACAAGATTGTAAAATTGAAAGGTTCAATATCACTCAAGCCCTTTTGGCAAGTAAACATAAAGAGGGCAAGTCGTGTGTGCACACGTCTTAAAGTCACACATTGATAGATTAAGAATGATGGGATCCGTTGTCGGTGAAGCGATGGCTGTTGATTGGGTTCTTCAGTCACTTCCTAACTCATATAGTGAGTTCGTAAGAGAGTACTATATGATGAACCACGACGTGACCCTTATTGATCTCACCTATATGCTTATTGCTGCTGAATCAGCAATGGTTTGGCGCAATAGAAAAGCAAAGTTGATTGGTGAATCTGCCTTCAAGACCTCTATGGATATAGACAATGGCAATGAAAGACATGCAATGATCGAAAAGTTTGATCATAAGAGAAAGGCGATGTCTGAAGTAGTTCCATGTGTTATTCCAAAAAGAGTCAATTTGCTTTTATTGCCAAGAGAAGGGGCATTGAGACGAAGCTGCCCTATTTACCTAAGAGATCTAAGAGATGGGAGAGTCGAAACGTATGGCTCTAATTTAGGTAAAATCCATTGACTAACTCTTTTAAGCTTCATTCTAGATTCTGAATACATAATGTGATAAGATTACAATTGATGTTTAGAAGGATCAAAGAAAAGAAAAGAAGCTTAAGGGAAGAAGTGAGCAGAATCTAACCATGAAGGAATGGATTTCGATCGCGTTTCTCGAAGATTAGATTCTTGAGCTTCTACTTAGAGTTAGAATTAGATTGCTAAGAAAGATGTATTAGCATAAGTTTTTCAATGAGTTGCATTGTAAGGACAAATTTTTCCGCAATAAAATAAATTTTTATTTTAAATTTTATTTATTTATCCTTACAATGGCGTGTATGAAAAATTGATGTTAAAATTATTACAATAATGGATTTTTTCTTATTGTGTTATGGAAAGTCAAGAATTTACCAAATAGGGAGAGTTTCTCATCGCCCAAGTTTCAATTGGACAGAAACTTGGAATCATGCAACTGGTTGCACGATGAATGAGAAATTTCATATTTGGAAATTAGACTAATTCATTGACAAAGTGTCAAGTGAAGGACTAGGAGATCGAGTACACAAAGTTGTGTGTTGATCAAGTTCACCATAAGAGTAACAAAGATATTCGTCATGATTTACTAAAGGCTTAGTAAATATGATTACACTTACAAGATTAAGTGTAATTTTGAATTGATTAAAGGGTTTAGATCAATAGCAAAACGAATAAGAAGAATCAAGTAGGCAGAAAGATAAGAGTTTCTCCATTCTAAGAAGAAGGGAGAGTAGCTTTTATGCTTTATGATAGGTCTTAATGATTAAGAACCATATCTCAATTGATCCTCTAAGTGAGTCTTGGTACAATTGTATGTCCAAGAAGAGGAATCAAAGATTGAAGAAATGGTCAAATCAAGAAGTCAATCATACTTCGTTCCAAAACAAGTCTTAAAGTCAAGATTGTGACATTGAGTGAATAGTATTAAGAAAGTTTATAACATTCATCAATTGTGGAAAGTTGTGATGTTTTGGATAAGACAAAGACCAACTAAGACCAAAATTATGAAGTGTTAAAAGCTACACTAACTCTTGAATATTTGTTTGTCAAGATATGTTTTGATAAGAGAATCGTATATGTCAAGGAGTCAGTGGGAGTCTTAATAGTCTTGAAAAGTTTCAAGAACAAATCAAATAAACCTTATCGATCATCACTAGCACACGAGTTGAGGTTTACAACCTATCGTGAAGACATTATTTTGTTTCTGTGCCAATCCAATCGAGTTAATTATGCATGTGAGTCCTATGAGTTCTCATTTGAATGCATAAAAGGCAAGGACCTTGATCAATGAAAGTACATTGATAGGAAAAAGGTGAGATGCTTAACTACTTGGAAGACGTGGTGGGCAGCTGTGCTACCATAAGGCAAGAAATCAAGATTAAGAAAGTTCGATCCATATGAGTTTGAATTTGTCGTAAACTTTGGTTTTAACAAATTCACATGGATAGGAACACATACACCATTTAAATCTAAGTGTCATAAGATTTCCTCCTTCATGAAAATGATTGTGAGAAATGCTTTCACTAAGAAAGATTTTAAAAGATAGTGATTGTAAAATTGCATTCTCGAATTCGATCATGGTTACGGCATCCCTTTCCATAATTTGAATTGTGAGGTTTGGCAATTAGTCTTAATTGTTAAGACACACATATGAACTATCTAAGGCAAAAGTGTATAAGTTCAAGAAGCTTGATAAAAGATTATCAAAGCACTAAGTATTAGAAACATGAACTTAAGAAATTCAATAAGTATTGTTTTTCTGAAAGTTAAGATGTTTATGAATACATGTCGAAGCTAGTGGGAGCATAAGTGTTATGTTTTATAATAATCATCATGATAGTGGGAGCATAAATGTTATGATTGTATGATTATTAAGGCATGTATTGCATAGTTGGCAATATTAATTATAGAAAACAAGAGTCATACTTTGCAAAGTTGTAAGAGTTGAAAGGTTGTTTTGCTATAATTAAGGGAGAGAATATTATGCTTCATTTCAAATCTAAAGGATTAGGTTGTGAAATGTTAATAAATTTAGTCAAAGGTACATAGTGTGTTCTTAAAGTTTCGATTATGATTACGGCATTCCTCTTCACAATTCGAATTTTGAGAACATAGAAAATAAAACATTATGCGTCGTGTCCCATACGCTTCGGGTATAGGATCGATTGCAAATGATTTAATGTTTGACCATTCTAAAATTTTCCAAATGTCTAGTGCATTTAGAGGGAAAAGGGACTAGAATTGGTTTTGACTAAAATAATTAAACAACTATCAAAGGACAATCCAAAGTTCGACGAGGATTGGTCGCTTGTGAGTAGTTGGAAGTATAGTATTGGAAATTATGGAAATGTTTCCATATTGGATGGACAATATCGACATAATTACGAATAGATAAGATTCTATTAAGAATGAGTTGTCATATGGAAAATATGGAAGCGTGTCCATATTGGGAAGTAAATATTGAAAATCTATGTCTAGATTAGAAACTTTTATGCAAAAGGATGTTCAAAGGAATGTACTTTGAGAGAGAGACATCATATCTAAGGAATTGTCTTGTAACAATCTCCGATAGAGGACTTTGTAATATCATTGGCAATAGTCTTTGTGACTTTGGTGCAGTGACATTACGAAAGGATCGTTGCATAAAGTGTTAGAATCTAGCATATTCTATAAGTAGCAAGAATTTGATATTCTTACACTTAAGAAAATGGATTTGGAGTTGTAAAATGAGAATGATTGGAAATGTGTTCAATTTGTCTATTTCACAAAAGTAAGAACCATAGGTAAACATTGTGTGCATGCTAGGAGCATGGGACAAGTGTAATAATTCAAGTAAGAAGTTGATTACCCGAAACGACAAATAATGAGTAATCGATATGGTGATAAATAAAACGTGTTTTGTTTATACTCAAAGGTTTGAGGCCATATGGGATTAGTATTATTCTTGTGTTTCACCTTGCATGTTTTGACTTCCAGAATAATTGAGTTTATTAAGAATAATCGAATTATTCAAACGGGCCACAGTCGTTCATATGTTGGAAGTAGATATGAATGAAGACTGTCGTGAATTGGTGTGTGGATTGTCTAAAAGAGTATTAGACATAAGCAAATGTTTGCTGCAACGTTCATGAGTGCTTATGAATATGATTTGAGCATTGGATTAAACCCACGCTCACTTGGATCACTATCTCGAGTGATTAGTGAGACGATAACATCTTATATTCTTGAAACCGAGATGTGTGAGTTGTATCTTGCTAATCGGTTGCACATTGATAATATGTAAACGCACTAGTAACTTGGTGTTATAAAACATATTGTTGTGTGTGATTTGGTTAGTGAGTGCAAGCAAGCATTGTATCAAAGTTTATCCGTTCCTTTTATCCAAAGAAGGATAAAAGCGATATCTTTGGGCCCCTCGATGGTTTAGTGATGACATACGTAAATGCTCGGCCGGGCTAGGGCTAATTTGATTTGTTCAATTAGTCTGTCGTCATAAATCAGAAATCGAGAAGTAGTACAAAGAGAATGATTAAAATCATATCTCATACGATATCTAGAATGGAGGAATATATGATCCCTTATCTAAGGACACGCGTATCTGATATGATCAGAGTTGACAGCGGCTTTGGAAAGCTACGATTGCAGATCAGGATCTGAAGTCATACGCAGAATAGTTGTTAGACTTATCCAAGTGGGAGACTGTTGGATTAGTGTCTAAGTCCATAACTATTTTGGTATGTACTTGACCCGATGGTGCATGGTCCTTTTGGGTTGCCTTCACCAAAGCAACTTGATAGGATGAATTATGGAGAGTAAGGATTAAATATGATTTATTAATATATTATGGGAATAATATATTAAAGGAGAAATCATATTGTTTAATTAATATTAGTCAATAATTAATTGGTAATTAGTTTTGTGACTAAAAGAGATTAATTAAACTTAAGGGACTGGAATTGTAATTATAAGATAATTGCAATTTGGGCCATGGATTGCCTTGTATTAAGGGATGGACGAATTCTAATGGGAAACCCATAAGGAAATCGTCCATGGGCTTAATTAAAGGAGTCTATGGGTTGCTTAGGGCTTAAGCATCCAAATTAGGGTTTCCTTGTTAGATAACCCTAATAGCCCAACTATATAAAGACCCCTTAAGGCTCAAAAACGTGGCTAAGTTTCTTGTAAGGGTTTACACACGTTTTTGGCAGCCTCCAACCTCTCTCCTCTTCATCCTCTTGCTTATGGTGTTTGTGAGCCATTAGAGGAGTGACACTTGTGACTCTAAGCCTTCCAAAGTCAATTCAAGGAGGAATTGGGATTGTTATTGCTACATAACAATCAAGGTATGATCTTAACCTAATTACATGTTAATATGATTACTTGCATGCTAGAATGAGGGTTTATAGTCTTGGATTCAAAGCATGTACAATAGAGAAACCTAGATCCGAACATTAGGGTTTGTATGAGCACATAAGATGTCTTATGATCAAAACCCATCAAAAAGGAAGTTGTAATGGATAATAGATACAAAAAAAAATGTAAGTGTCAGAAAAGTGGATTAGTGGTGTGGATGTAGAGATTGAAAAACTTATAACAGAACGAAACTGTTTGGAAGATGTTATTAGAATTAGAAGATGTTTTATTGATCGTGAAAAAATAGTGTAGATGTTTGGCCGGGAATTTAGTTTTGAAATCAATTTAATGAGAGTTTTATTTGCTTTTAGTTTTGGTTTTAACACCTTTTCTTTTTTTTTTTTTTTTTTTTTTTAAAATTTTCTCATTAATTTCAAAATTTTGGCTTTGATGGGTTTGAATTTCTTTTTTCACAACCATCATTTGTCTCTATGGATAAAATAAAAATTATTAAATATTATAAAATACGACACCTAAAACTATGAAAGTTTGAATTTCTTTTTTCACGACTGGTATTTATCTCTATAAATAAAATAAAAATTATGAAAGTTTCCTTATCTATAAACCCATTTTTTAAGCAACACCCAAAGAAATTGATTTGTTGCTCATTTAAATTGATTCAAAATATTGCTTTGGATTTCGGACGATTTGACAAATTTCTTTGTATGAAAATCACTCACACTTATCGACTGACCAAAGGACAGAAAATAAAACCTTACTATATTAGTGAACAGTTAATACTAAACTATTATTCATATTCCATATTATTCTTCTTATTTCGATATAAAGTTTCTATTATGGACATGTTTTTCTCGGTTACCTAAAATTGTTTAAGCTCCATACATGTTGTCAAAAAAACCTAGTAGATAATCAAACAAAAAGACAAAAAATGAATCCAGATTTTGAAATAAAAAACATTCAACATTGTTCATCATATTCTCTAAACTCATTTATCGCATTTGAGTTGATCATTTTTTTCATTATGAGTTTAAATCCTACACAAAAATAACCAAAACTAACCTGGTTCACCGGATATATGTTTATTATCTTCAAAAATAACTTGAAAACTTGTGTTGGAATATCTGTTCCGAGTTTTTGTAAAAATGGTCATTTTCAAAGAATTAAAGTATTTGGTTATTTTTTTAGTGGATATCCCAATTATTTTGACAAATAAATAATTGGATTTTGGTAAAAATCTCAAATATCCCCCCCAATCATAGAATTCCATCTGATTGTCCTCTTTGAGCTAAAACCCTAGGAACGTTTTTTACGTAACATAATTATTATCTTCACACGCCTCTCCATTTCGATCTGTTGGCGCCTTCTAATCTTCTCATTTTTTTCTCGTCTCCTTATCCACTAAATCTTCATCCCCTTCTCTGCTTCTCCCCCAATCAATTCGCCATTTCCAGATCAATCCCTGCAAAAGAAAATGGTAGAAGCTCAAGCAGCACCAACACCTCTAGCTCCATTACTTCTTCGTAACATCTTGTTACCGTTATTCATCTACAGCGATAAAACCCTGATAAACTTATCCCACAAATTCAAACTATTCCATATCATCCGTTATACTCTAATCACCGCCTTCCTGTTCTTCCTCAAAGTCATCCCTTCCTTCATCTCTTATTCTCTTCACCCCAATCAAAATCAAAATCACAACTCCGATCCCGAATTGGATTCCGATTCTGGTCCTCATCCATGGGTTCCATTTTTAAAGGGTAATGACGCCGCCGATGGTAGCTTAGTGGATGAAACGTGCATAGCGCGTGCACTGACGCAGTTGCTCGCTATAATCAACGAAATACCCGTCAGTTCGAGGAAGTACGAGATCGTCCGGTCGTACGCCGAGAAATTGATGAATGAAAATCTAGAGGAGGGCTACGAGCCGTTAAGGAAAGTGAACGCCAAGGTTCTCTCCGCCGCGTTTTCACGGGCACTTCAACAACTGCAATCGGCAGCGGTGGCGGCGGCGAAGTATGATATTGAGAAAAATACCGCCACCGGTGGAGATGTAACGAAAAAGGGCGGTGGCTACTTTGGGTTGAACCGGGTGATTAAAACTGTGGGCCATTACGGCGATTTTGCTTGGACTCAGTTCACGAAACCGAAAACGCGGTTGCGGGTTTCGGCTGAGAAGTTGTCAGCTGAGTTGCTTTGGCTGGCGGAGAAACTAGTGGCGTGTGGAAGCGCTGATGAAGCTGTGAGGCAATGGGCTTCGGCTTCTAAGTTGGCTTGTGTGGCTCTCTCGGCTCAGCAGCGGCTACAAGGTTCGTTGGTCAAACTTTCAGGTATGGGATTCTACCGTCTTTGACTTTTAACTCCATTACCTACATGAACTCGAATGTTCCGTCGTATCAGAACCACATATTCATTTTCCTTAAAAATATCATGAATAATACTATTTTTAAATTTTGTATAACCCTTTATAGTCATGATTTTATATCAAGTTAAGATGTTACCCTTTATAGTCATAATTTTATATCAAGTTAAGAAGTTTACAAGTGATCATCATAATATGTTCAAACGTTTATGTTAAAAATGTTAACAAATCTTTACAAAAACTATTTTCTAAATTTATTAATACTATTTTCAAATGAGCATTTCAAATTTAATTTCTCTATAATAATAAACTAAAAAAAATAAAATACTATTTTCTACAATAAATCAATTTTTTTTTTTTCAAATGAGCATTTTTTTAATTTATTAATAATAAATAGATTAAAGTAACATATTACATTACTTTACAAACAATTGTTGATATTTTAAATGATCATCGTGATCGGATTAATATGACCATTATCACTAATAGTAAGTCGTTGGAGGCCGATTAATCAACTGTCTAAACTAATTTTTATTTTTTACAACACTGATTGTTCTCTGAGTGATTCAGAGCATTCTTAACCGTTTGCAGGTTAATTCTGATGTTACCAAATAGCCTGAATATTGAATAGTTAACAGACTTACCAAATAGCCCATAAATTATTATTATTATTTTTGAAGCCATATGATATATTGATATGTTGTTAATATAATGTTCATACTCTGCAGTGTACTTGTTCAAGGAGGCAGTATCTATGGGTGGTCAAGATGATGACGTGGAGGAACTAAGGAAAGTCAAAACGAAGTTATTAATGTCATGGCTACCATTTTTGTGTCGAGCGACAATTGGTGTAGAAGCACCTGTATTAAACTTCAATGAAAAAGCTGAGCTTGAAAACATGTTGGGCAAGCTTATCGAGTCCTTAAAACATGAAGAAGAACAAGAAAAAGTCTTGTCTTTATGGCTCCACCATTACGCTCATTGTCCATCTTCCGATTGGCCTAACCTCCATCAATACTATGATCGTTGGTGCACTGCTTCCCGCAACCTCTTCATCCTCCAAGGCAAACAAGAAAAATGACATGTTCACTGAAGTGAATTTGGTGCTATAAACCATTAATTGTTATTTTTTATTGAAAGATCATGGTTATCAGAGAATCAAGGTGCATAATGATGTCACAATATATTTCATCGATGAATGTGCATGTATATATTTTAATTCATTCTACTCTCATCTTTTTCTTGTAAGATGTGGATTTTGGTGTGTGTATATAACTTATGGCACGTTGTATATGTTAATGTAGAATTATATTGATGTAATAAGGTAGAAATAAAATATTAATAGAGAACATTGTTTGATGATATTCTTTCAAAGTTTTACATGTTTTCCTGCATATCTTCTTCTCCTACACCCTTTTATGGATATATAGATTATGAACCACATAGTTCTACTTATGATTTTGTTGATGATGGTGGTACGACTACACTCAAAACACCATGTACATTGCAAATGGTGAAATCTCATGACCTAAACCTAAATCAAAATCATGATAATGTACTTTTCTAGAAGTTTTGGTGGAAAATTACCACATGGACCACGATTTTTCTTTCAAAAACGACTTGTGAACATTTCAAACTCATGTATGATCTTTAAACCAACATGCATGTGGAGATTTTCGATTTAGATGTTACATGTTCAAAGTTTGTTACTAAAAACTTCCAAATATGTTCATAAAGGGATTTATTCACAAACGAATATCTAAATTCCTTTTCTGCCCAAATACGATTTTTCCCTAAATCCCAATAACTAACTATGAAGATCTGAAAATTTTCATAAAATAATTCATTTTTCTCAAATTATGATAACTTTTGCAAGAAAATAGAGCAATAATTCACATAAAATACTTTTGCGGTCAATAAATTCTAAGAAAATTTGAGATGATCTAGACACTGATTCAAAACATTTTATGAAGTTGAACACATTTCTATGACAATTTTATGTTGATTTTGATTTTATTTTTAATGAAAAGAAATAAATAGTGAAATATAGTTATGTATGTCAAAAACCATATTTGCTAACTTTCACATCTATTGGACATCATAAACACTCCATTAAAAAATTTACAAATTTTTCCATGACAATTTCTTGTTTTTTCCAAGGGGATTAAATTGATGAAAAATAGCTACACTTAACCAAAAATTATAATACTTCATTATAATATTCTATATCACATATTAATCTTAAATGAAAAAGTTAGTGAATTTTTCTTACTGTTTAGTAATTTTTCATGAATTAATGCTTATTTATGAGAACAAATCAATGAAAGATAGTTAAACTACTCTAAAAATCACAAGAAACTATCATAACATCGTATATTACAGTTTAACCACAAATAAAAAAGTTTGGGAAATTTTCTAAACTGTTTGATATTTATTTGCATTTTTGTTAGAATAAATACATAAAAATCATAAAAATAGGTTACATTATTTAGTTTAGATATTTTTCTCAGCTTTTATACATTAAATAACAACTTTAAAATTTGTTTGAAGAATTATCTAATCTGGTTACTATTTATGCTATCTTCTTACATTTTATAAATATAAATCATAAAAACCGGACTCTACTATATGAAAACAACTTTTGATATTTTTTCCAACTTATATACATTGTACATCAATGATAAAAAAAAAATTTTGGATAAATTTCTTAATTGTTTACTATTTTTCATGATTTTGTGTTGATTTGAGAAATTAAATGAAGGAAAAATAAGTAAACACATCAATAATTGGAGAAAAAAAATCTCTGGAAGACATTCACTGTAGTTGGAATAAAAATATAAAGTTTAAAAAATTTTGGAAACTGTTTGATAATATTATGGATTTTACTTAGTTAAAACGCATTTGAAAAATATTATAATGCACTACAATTAATAATACAAAAATGTGGAAAAATACCACCTAAATTTATCTTTGAACCACATGAGTTATAAAATTCCAACATTTCAGAAAAATTTGTTACCAAGTAACTAAAACCCAATTTTTAGAATAACATTTGGCATTTCTCTATATGTAAAAATTAGTATATTAGAATTAGATTTTTAACATAGAAATTCACTAAAGTATGTTGTTATTGATGGGTTTTGACAACTATAAGATTCCTATGGTGCACATACAATCCTAATGCTTTGGATCTAAGTTTTCTCACGTTAGACATGCACTTTTCATTTTTCCAAAAGCCTAACTAGCATACAACTCGGTATTTAATACATAAAAACAAGTTAGATGATTACCTCTTTGTTTTAGCTTGTAGAACTTTGCCTTACAAGAGCTTAGCACTTCAAATGTGATGTATCAAATAAGCCACAAACACCAAGAACAATGGAGGACAATGAGAGAGAGCTTGGAGGCACCAAAATCGACTAGCTTCTTCTTTGAATACACTTGTATCCGATTTTAGGGCTTAGGGGTTACATTTATAGTGTAGAATTCCAATGGTCACTTTTAAACCCTAATTCATTCACTTAGGCTTTTAATCAATCATGGATCATTAGCGCAAATTATATGTATCACTGATTTACATAATCAGACCCCGTTAATTTAATTAGTCTCTTTTGATCATTAAATTAATTCCAAATTAATTCTTGATCAATACCAATTAAATAATATGATTTCTCAATTAATATATTATACTTATAATATATTAATAAATTACAAATAACCTCTTTCTCAAATATCCATCCTATCAAATTGCTCCGGTGAAGGCAACCCAAATGGACCATGCTACTATTAGGTCAAGTACATACCAATTATAGTTATGAGCTTAGACACATAATCCAAAAGTCTCCCACTTGGATAAGTTTAATAACTATAACTGCCAATGCAACTTCAAAATCCGATTAGCAATCGTAACTCTCAAAAGCCGCCGTCGAACTCTGACGCATCCTTTAGATAAGGGATCATATAATCCTCCGTTCTTTAAGATATCGTGTGGACACATACATGGAACATAGTCATACTTATTGCCCAATAAGTTGTTTCCCAATTTCAGATTTGTTTTGTAACATCCCAAATTTTCAAGCCCAAAAATTTCATTTTTAATATAACAATTTATAAAATCGCTTATGAGAAAATATCAAGTCAAGTAATTTCATCAAAACCATAGTCACATGTCTCAAAGTCATATCATTAAAACAATAATAACATCAGAGTACAATCCCAAGAATATCATGGTGCATAAATCTTGTGTGTGTGTGTGATGTGCAGCTACCGCGCCGACTCCTTCCCCTTCGCTGAAGAGGTACCTGAAACAAAACTGAAAACTGTAAGCACGAAGCTTAGTGAGTTCCCCCATCATTCCACATACCACATAAGGCTTGTCCCTCGGTATCTTTCAATCAGTATCTAGCTAGCATGACTGAGAGTTGGGCTCCCCTTCGGTATCTTTCAACCAGTAGTCGGGAGCTAACGTCACCTTCGGTATCTTACAACTGGTAACCAGGAGCTAACCTCCCCTTCGATATCTTTCAACCGCTAGCCGAGAGCTAACATCCCCTTCGATATCTCTCAACCGGTAACTAGGGACTATTTCACCCCCTACCACTACCACATAATAACATATCATGAACATATAGCTAGGCATGCATGGTTGCTGTTTACCCCTTCAGTATCTTTCAACCGGTAACTAGGGACTGTTCCGCCCCTACTATTACTAACACATTTAACATCCTAGCACATAATCATAAAAAATAGCAACATACCAGATAATTATCACAAAGATAATCATCTCTACTATAATCTCTTACTAGTGGGTCGACCTTGGTGCCTTAGACCTACTTCTACTAGAAGGTAACTCACCTTAGTGTCACGAAGTCTGAACTGTCCTTGATGTCGGGATCAACTCCTCTCAACTCCTACACATAACAACCTTCCTTAATTTATCATTACATACTCTTAACCCTTCAAAGGGTTACTCAGGGAAAAGTCAAAGTCAAGGTCAACACCATGGTCAAAGTCAACCTCTAGTTGACTCAAATCGTCGAGTTGACGCAACACTCGCCGAGTTCTCCTTTAACAAAGTCGAGACCTTCTACAACTTACTCGCCGAGTTTATCCTTGAACTCTTCGAGTTCATCTTCATCCGAGTTAAAGTGTTTAGTCCTTGACTCGCCGAGTTCTTCTTGAACTCGTCGAGTTCTTCTTCATATAATTGGGATGATGCCTTGAACTCGTCGAGTACGTTGATCTTCAGGTCCATAATCATGTTCATATCGTTGAGTCCCCTCCTAGACTCAACCAGATTCCTCAGGAACAGAAAAGGTTGGGGAACCAATACCCGACTTGTCGAGTCCTATGAACAACTCAACAAGTCCCCCAAGGTCCATGTCCTTACAGTCGGTTTTAGTTGAGCTCATTGCATCGAAAGTGTATATCTAACCTCCTAGGGTCGATTTAACACGTAAAGTCATGAACTATACGTCCATGCATGGGTCTTCAAGCCTAAAAGGTCAAAAAATGGAGTCTACAAGATGCATGGGGCTCTTATGGCAATAAAGTTGGCACATTTAGGCCATGAGAACCCTCCTAGGTTCAAGAGTTGAAGTCATCACTCTATATTACGTTCTAAACCCGAAGGTGACTTAAAAATGCCCCAAAAATGACAAGATTCAAGACCTAAGAGGATCTAACAAATGGGAAGTCAAGGTTGAAGCTTTTTCCCTTTAAAGAGCTGGAAATGAAGCAAAACCTCTGGATCTACTTGCTTCTTCCTTCCACTTCTTCTTCAAGCTTCAAACAACCAAAAACACACAAAAATGGCTCAAGGACACTCCAAATGCTTTAGGGTTTCGAGTTAAGGCATTTAAATAGGGTGTAAACCCCAAATATTAGGGTTTTATTCAGGCAGTCCTACTTGTCGAGTCCGGCTCCCGAACCGTCGAGTAGGTTACTTAAAACCCACATCTAAAATCCAGTCTACTCAACGAGTTGGGCCTCCAACTCATCGATTCCCAGTGTAAAACATGTAATTACTTAAATTTAAAATACGTACCGAGAACTGGGTGTTACATGTTTGATACAGAACTTAATTGAACACATCAATTGAGTCCTGACCGGGCCCGACACATAAGTCAAAACAAAATCATCGAGGGGCCTAATATATCGCTTTTATTTCCCTTAGGTTAAAAGGAACAGATAAACCTTGACTTATATGCTTGTACTAATTACTTGTTAAATTATACACAACAACACATTTTATAACATCAAGTTACTGATGCGTTTTCATACTATTAATGCACAACCAACTCGTAATCAACAAGTCATATATCTTGGTTATAAGATCATATGATATTATCGTCTCACAATCACTTGTGATAAATTCCATGAAGTGATTCATG